GTGTGTGTGTGTGTGTGTGTGTGTGTGTGTGTGTGTGTGTGCGCAACAAATACAACATTGGATTTGCAATAAGTCACAATATAATATTCCAAATGTAGTATATAGCTCTATATTTATAAATAAATATATATATATATATAAATGGCTGACATCTTTTTTGTCATTAATACAATTAAATTAAATAGTGTAACATTGTATTGATATAGTATTCTTGCCTTTTTGAAACAACAGAACAAAACAATCTTAGCTCAAGGTCCACTGTTTTGTTTAGTGCAATTATTATTATGAGTTATTATACAAATGCTATGTAACTTTTTTTAATTAATATAAAATGCATTACATTGTGGCTTATGCTACAGATTAAATTGTTAATGGATAATTACTTTTATGCAAAGGTATTATAGAGGATCAGCAGTTGTATAACACCTTATCTAACATCATGGTGCTCCTGTATTTCAATAAAAACAGATGATTAACATTTAAAGGTTAAAAAATATTGTTATTGGATGTAAAACTCTTACAGATAGTTTCTGAGTGTCTCCGTCCAGCACCCTCTCAAGGTACAGCTGCTTCATCTCCCTCTCTAGTCTGGATGGGAGTCCGGGGTACATGGTGCTTCCTCCGGAGAGAACGATGTGCTTATAGAAGTCTGACCTGCACAGAAAAAACAACCAGGATGTAAGAAAACAACATGTTTTGTTTTTCTACATGCCCTTTTTATGTTGTGCAGGTGCATTAGTGAGGGGAGGCAGACCTGAGGTCGATGTCTGCTGCCTGGATGGTGTTGAACAGCAGCTCGGCCACCCCCGCTCCCTCCACGTTGATGAGGTGAGGCTGGAAGAGAGCTTCAGGAGCCCCGAACCTCTCGCCGCCCACCTTCACCTGCCGGCCGTCGGGAAGCTGCACCACACAAAGGAAAACATTTCAATAACTGTAGGGTCTTTTTTGTGATACAGCAAGATGGAAGGTGCCACAATAACACATGCTTTGGAGAAATCCTTCATTTTACCACTCTCATAATAGGACGCAAACTAGAATAAGGGTACACTTATTGGCAGAAATTGAATATAATATGTTTAAATATGTTATTATTTGTTATACAATCACATTGAGTTAAGAATCATGTTTATGTTATCCTACAATAGGGTTGCAATCTGATACCTCACCACAAGATGTCCCTAAATACCAGACACTGGTCTTCAAAAAGCATTGTTTGCTGTTTGGGGAACTGAACATTTATTTAGATACCACTCTTATGTTTGTATGCTTACTAAATATTTAAGTACATATCTAGAAGTTCACTTTTTTGGTCTTTGGTGAAATTATTACTTTAAACGAGAGCTAAATATTTCCTTTGTTTTCAAGCAGTTTAACTTGTTTTCATGTATTTATGCTAAGCTTGGCTAACAGGCTGCTAGCTTTAGCTTCATATTCAGCACACAGTGGCAGGGAAGTAACAGTCGACAAGAAAGTGAATATGCACATCCTTTATATAGCAGCACTTCCTTTGAGTCAGGGGTGTCCAAACTACGGCCCGCGGACCATTTTGAATCGGCCCTCAGCAAATTAAAAAAGTATAATGACTTAAGTATGATAAACTTGTCTTATATTGTACTTCTTAAATATATATGTTCAAATATATTACACAGTTTTCATGTGTTAACAAGCACATTTTCAAATGAATTCAGTCGATTAAAATTGAAAACATGTTCAAGTTGATAAGAAAAAAGCCCAATGTACATAACAACCTTCAAAATATACCCTTCATATTTCCTCCTATTATAAGCAATCTGAAGCTTCTCTTTTAAAGAATGAGCTGCTCACAAAATAAATAAAACTCAGTTTTTTTCTTAAAGCATCTTCAAGTATCAAGAATAATTTACCTACATCGGATGGATTTTTCCAACTTATAACTGAATTTATTAGGAAAATATACCTCACCTGTGGCCCATCCCTTCGTATATTTTTCTGTATGTGGCCCTCAGTGAAAAAAGTTTGGACCCCCCTGCTTTAAGTTAGGGCTGCTTGATTATGGCAAAAAATCATAATCTCAATTATTTGGGTCAATAATTGATATCACGATTATTAAAAACGATTATCCATCTACTTTGAAATCATCCAGTTATTGAATTTTCTTTGTTGAAAAGTATGTTTTTAACAGTTGTTGATTACCCTGAACTTTAAGTATAATTCAACTGAAAAACCAATACAAATAATAATAAATTAAAAAATTGAATAAGAAATAATCGTTTTATTTCGATTATGTTGTTTTCATAATCGTTGCAAGCCAAAATCGTAATTGCGATTAAAATACGATTAATTGAGCTGCCCTACTTTAAGTAGACTAAAACTTTAAGCATTACTGGGATTTTGTTCTTCAACGTACTGTGAAAGTCTCCACCAGGAAGGTCGTCTCTAATGCCAGGCGCTGCTCCTGCTCGATGTCGTATCCCACGTAGCACAGCTTCTCCTTCATCATGCGCACAGTCTCAAAGTCGGCGGTGTGGTTGAAGGCGTAACCGCGAAGAAGCAGGAGCTAATGGCGGGAAAAGGTGAATTTTTCATGTCACAACTTTTTACCAGTTTTCACAGTTTGGCATTTTCTTAATTTCTTCCTGTGCAATATTTAGACTTGTTTTCCCTTCTACAGGACTGAGCATCTCCTGGCTCACCTTAATGAGGTACCGTGTGATGTCACGTCCTGCGATGTCCAGCCTGCGTGTGAGGTGGGGTAAGGAGAAGCCCTCATACACGGGACAGATGTGGGTGACACCATCCCCCGAGTCCAGGACCACACCGGTCAGCAAACCTGTAGACAGAATCAATTACCCAAAGAAAATGTAACCAAACAATTCCAATAATCTTTGAGGACAGACGATACGTTAGAAATGGGTTTTCTTGTGTCTTTAAGCACAAACCCCACCCAAGTATTCCAGTTTGCCCTAAGGAACAACACATTTAAGATTGTATAACATTTTGAAGCCTTACCCTGAGCATACAGAGTGAGCACAGCCTGAATTGCCACATAAAGGCCCTGGAACTGGTACTTCTCAAACATGACCTCAGCAATTTTCTCTCTGTTCTTGGTGGGGTTCATGGGCGGCTCCGTCAGCAGGATCTTCAAGAAGCAAAAAATACATTCACAGCTGTTTAAAAGCCTATTATTGATACGTTGTTCCCCAGGTGTAAAACATTAAAATGTCTTCAGTATTTTACCACTTGTTTTCTTTCTTCATGCCTTGTTCCAATACTTGTCTCACTGAACTTTATTTTGAAAGGTCGGCTCTGTGTTGTACCTTGCACTCTGACGGGTTGATGTCCAGGCGGGTGGAACCGAAGGTGTAGTCCCACAGGTGGAGCATGTCCTCCCAGGAGCGCACCATACCGTTCTCCATGGGGTAGCTGACCTCCAGCATGGAGCGGCACTCGCTGGCCTCATCACCCACCATCAGGTCCTGGTGGGAAGGAAACACGAGGAGACCGCCTTTTTAAGGTGCAGAGTAAAAGAATAAGACTCACAGGAAAACTACTGGCCCATTTTTTCTAAACTTGGTGGAAGGGTGTAGCCTGGGCTAAGAGACAATCGATTATATTTAAGAATGGAGGGGATCCAAATGAGTCTGCGTTCTTTGGTCTTTTTTACTATTTTGTTAGTATCTACAGCTTTGATAAGCTAACGTATAACAAATGATATATCACAAAAATATTAAATGATAAGAATTAAATCTCAGTGCCAGTACAATACCTTCGCATTTTTTGCACGGATACCAACGCTATACTTTTTACAATGATAGTTTTTAGTAATGCATGGATTCTTTTATTTACACAAGCAGCCAAAGACATTATCAAAATACTGTATTCAAAATCAGGTTATTTATCAAAGAATATAAATACTTAGAAGCTTACTTAGCATTTGCTCACATTTTGGTTACTGCTGAATATTATTGAGCATACATGCTTACTTACAAAAAAAGTATTGTGAACACTGTACCCAAAAATGCTATCTTTACAAATCTTCACATTTTACATTTTGTGTGCAGTGAACTTTTCCCTTCTGCTTTACGAAACGTGAGGATTACAAGGAGTAAAGTTCTGCATGATCTGACCTCAGGTTACGTGAGAATACGGACTTAACTGTGTCTTAAGGAAGCTAACAGGTGTACCGTTCTAAGACACTTTGATACATATGAGCTGAAAGGTAAGAAGAGATGGAGGAGAGGAAGAAGGTCAGCTGTTTAATTAGCTTAACAAGTCTTACTGTCCAGACTTACCAGACTGGAATTCCCTTAGCTTTGAACGGAATACAATCCACATTTAGAAACAGCTTTTGTTAGATAAAAAATGTACTTCCTCTAATCCAATTTTAGTTTTAAAGTCTCCTTCTTTTCTGTCTTAAAAAAACACTCTCAATCTGGCACCTTCTCACTCACATACACCTGACATATCACCTTATATACAAAGTGTTGCCTTGTCTAGGCTCACCTGTTATGTATCGCTTTTCTGAATACAATTTGAAATAATGCAAAACATGATCTCACCTTTATCTCAATGTTGCCCACTTTGGTGTTTGATCGTAACATTGGTCGACCCACCATGGCGGGGAAGATGTGTTCGGGGAAGTTGGATCCAGCGAAGCCACACTTGACAAACTACGAAGGGATGTGAGAGTGAAACATGATGTTTTTTGTGTCTATTAAGTTCTTGTTTTTGTCAACGTTATCAAGAGCTTGTTATCCTCAGAAGAGGTTTCATCTTTATTGTTTTTCAGTTATTGAAAGAATTTGTCTAACTGACGAGTGAGTTTTCTGCTCATTCTGTGTGCTTCTTATATCTTTTAGGTTTTCGAAAAATAATGCTAGGTTTGTTTTGTTCTTCTCATGACAATTATATTGAGCTTGTGTGCAAATACAATAGGAGAAAAATAATCATCTTACTCCTGCATTAAAGCCTTCTGAAATAGATAATAACTATACATTCAGTGTAATCCATCACTAGGTCTAATCTGCATGCAGGAAACTGTCCTAGTGTTTATTATCACAATGCATTCACTGGATTATTCATCAGTCAATGCAAATGTGTTAAAATGTGTAGTAATTCATTCGGCAAGCATGGAGCAATACGTGTTGCTACATTGCTTTTAAATGATCTGCTGTTTCTCTACCTGTCATGACTTCACCTCATACTGTTGTGTCTCAACTTGTCTTTGTGGCCATAGACACATTCCTTAGCCTGGAGGGACAATGCATTCCAAGCAGAGGCGAAAAACTAGGATACGGCCATTTTCAGTTAAAGATAACACACGTTTGTCTTAATATATGTTGAAATTAGCATGCCACCATCAGTGTTGAATAACCAATCTGGATGTTGTGATAGCTGAAGTCTCACTTCCTGATTTTCATCCAATCGTAGCTCAGTTCAAAACATCACAACCATTTATGGCTGTGTGTGCACATTAGAGGCAGAGTGACAAGTTCAGACACGTGAGGAATCAAGCTGCACATAGATTCACACCCTTCAGATGTCAACCTTTACATATGATCCAGAAACAAACTTTTAAACGCAGCCACTTTACAATAAAACACGGCTGGTGTGGGTTTGCATGAAAAACAATGTCACAGATTTCTGATAACACTTTGAAAACAAGCGTAAAGTATACTGAAAGAGAAGAAAGAGAAGTAAGCGGTGTTAATACAATGTTGAGGTAGTGTGTGACACAATATATTTGACTTACCCCTGTCCCATTGTCACAGACCACCACTTTTCTCCCCTGGCTATCCATGCTTATCCAAATGTAGCTCCCTCCTGTCAGGACAGGGGTCTAACTAACAAATGACAAATTCAAGATTATTACGCATGAATTTAGAAGAGACAACAAGTGACAGGTAAGCAGAAGTCTATTTGCTGCAACTTCCAGTATGGGCGGGATTACTACATTTGAGGACGCCCCATTTGCTGCGGGGGTGGACCTATACTTCCCCTTTTTATAGAGAAACAGGTAGTGTTTTTTTGAGCAAGTCATTTACAAATTATTTTTAAACTTGACATTTCCTTACACTTTTTATTCTGCAACAAAAAGGAAAGAAATAGTCCTTTTATTGTTTGATGTCCCTACTCATTGTCACTATATAAAACTGGAAATAATGATACTTTGTAGATTACACAATCAAACTGTTGTAAATGTAAGACCCTAATTATTCTGTTGACTGGTTAACATGTTTCGTTATTTGTATATTTTTCAATGTCAACTCTGCAGATTTGATTTGCTCAATAAAACAATTGTAATAAAGATAAGACATAACAAATAATACAAGATTTTAAAAAACAAAATCATGATGAATAACCTTTTGTAAATCTTTGTAAAGTTATGCATTGATAAAAAGGTGAAACTTTTGATAAATCAATCTGGGGCGGACTGGCCATCGGGACGTTCGGGACGAATCCCGATGGGCCGGTACTGAAGTGGGCCGGTCGGACGATGTGGGCCGGCCGGTAAGGGCTCGACATTATAAATGGCCCGCTGGCCCGGAAGCACTATTTAGACACCCCGGGCCAGCATAACGTACTTTCCACTTGCCCGCTCGGGCCACTAAAAATATTGGTTTTTTTAAAAAAAATGGTCCTGTGGTATTGGTATTTTGACTAGCAATTTTGTTAAATTGTTTCGTTTATTAACGCTAGAACATAGCGTTCCGTGAGTCGGTTGTCGTTGTTGGGTGCAAAGCAAACAGCTGTTTGCTGCGGAGCAGGCTCCTGTGAACGGGAGCGCGCTCCTTCACTACAGACTATCGCGCCACCTAGCCATTCGCCAACATTTTTTTAATACCAGCGGTAACTGGCCAAACAATCTTCAAATAAAGGAAAGTCACCGGAGGAGTTAAAGGAGAGTGACAGGGAGCATGAGAAGGAGAGGGAGAGGAAGTTTCAGCCACACTGGCTTGATCGATGGAGTTGGCTTCAATACGATGCCAATATAAACAAGGTCTTCAATGCTGACCTGACCTATGCTGACAGGAAGTGAAGAGTAGAGAATATAAAGGTTTGGCTGAAGGGGAATGTCCCAGCAGTTTAGGAGAATGAGGGTTCTAATCTATTACATAGCCATTACATTTCTAACTCCTGATGACAGGAAGGCAGAAAGTGCATTATACCAATAATACTCATAATAATGATAATAGCAAATTTAGTTTATGCATAAATTACTATTGCACCAAATGTGTTCATTTTCTTCATTATTAGTCGATTTCTTGAACGAATGCTCCAGTGGTTACAGCGGGGGGGCCGGTGGTTACAGTGGTGGGACCGGTGGTTACAGTGGGGGGGCCGGTGGTTACAGTNGGCGCTGGGTCTTTAAGCTTGTCGAGATTATTCCTAGGCGTCCCTCCGGACTGCCTCCGCTGTGCTGTAGTGTTTCTTCCTATGAAGCACTCCATGACGTCATCTAAGTCGGAATGGAGGGTAACGCTATCAGAAAAACAGGACAATGGTCTAGCAACCTCTATTATAAGCATTATAGGAGATACATTAATTAAAAGACTTTCAACTGCATTATATCTGAGGAAAATCTCCTGGTGTAAAGTTGCAAAAACCATTAGATGAATTAACCAAGAAACTACATGCCATCCATGATAATCCTGGGAACTGCCACAAGACTTTCTGACCCAACATTTATCAAATCCACACTGGCGTAATCATTTAATCAAGTGCAAGAAATCAACAGGCTATACTAAAAATGGGACATTATTTTTTAAAGTATATATAGAAAAACCTCTATATTTTAAGAGGAAAAAATAGACTCGTCTATTCAAGTTTAACACACATGAATATATTAAGGTGACATTAAAATGAATATACCAGAAATACGAACTGTATTAAACTTTCTGCTCTAACACTTACTTTAATACTTCAAAAATACTCATAAGGAATCTTTTCATACCGTAAAAGAATCAAGAAAGATATTGGTTACAAATGAATGAAGTAATTTGACTTTAATACACTGAATGTAACATTCCATTAAACAATACTAGATCACCCTACACATTTGTTAAGTGAGGGTTATTTAGATGTTACAAGCAATATGATTTTGTCAGCTATTCTAATTGGCAATGTATATGAAGGAAATATATATTTAACACAGTGAGAAACTGCTACTATTTATCTCTCATATTGTCTATAAAAAACGTGGTAAAGAGTTAATTCTTTCAGTGAGACCAAAGAGCAAAGCTCTACAGTTGCACCTACATTTTGATAACAGTTAAATATTATTTGAATAATAACCATGACATTTCAATGTTGATGAACTTCATACCGGTTTTCATAATCTGATTGTCTTTGAGTCGCTGTTGAAATAAAAAAAAAACATTACATTAACAACACTACCATTATATCTACGCCCCCTAAACACACTGTCGTGGCCCATTTTTAGTGGGATACTCTCAAAACCTGTGCCACGTCAACAAGGGATCCGCTTCTTGACTCACAACTGTTAAAAAACCATCCAAATAAAGCTCTGTAGCGCTGACTTTCTTTGCCTTCCTTGGCCGATTTATTTGCTTCCATATATTAATAACACCAAAATAAACAAAAATTATCAGTATAACGTGAGTTCAAACAACTGTCCCAGATTCCCCGTTCATTGCTGGAGACAATATCCTCCTCACAGCTCAGCTCCACCTTCCTTATATCACAGGTGTGGCTCGCAGTAAATCAAAGGTTTTTCAGCCCCGAATATACTATAATTCGGACACAACACTCACTAATACCTCAATCAGCGGCATACTATAAGCCTAAATTATAAAAATATACTCATTGTCAACACAAAATGCACTTCAGCACTAACAATATGATAGAACATACAGCATTACAACAAATAATACACATAACGCGCCAATATCCCACAACAAATCAATTCATTTATCAATACATAGTCAGAGGTATCATAAGCATAGAAATTCTATACTTGAGATTCAATAAATAAATCGCTTTTTACTAGCTTCAGAGTAAGTCCACAGTAGTAGTAATAACCAAACTTAATTATCCAGATTCAGGAGCACAAGAGTTATGGATATGCAGGCTCTGTACACTATGTTTTGTTTTAACAACACATCGGACAAGACTACTAATATCATGACAGGGTCTCAGATCCTCTAGCACCCAGGAGTTTCCATGGAGCCGAAGACATAACAAATAATACAAGATTTTAAACCAGGAAGAAAGTTCCTTCTGATCTTATTCCATTTATTTCGCTGTTGCATTGTTGGAAGATATTCTCTGACCCATCTCTTCCAGACAGGGGCGGACTGGCCATCGGGACGTTCGGGACGAATCCCGATGGGCCGGTACTGAAGTGGGCCGGTCGGACGATGTGGGCAGGCCGGTAAGGGCTCGACATTATAAATGGCCCGCTGGCCCGGAAGCACTATTTAGACACCCCGGGCCAGCATAACGTACTTTCCACTTGCCCGCTCGGGCCACTACAAATATTGGTTTAAAAAAAAAAATTGTCCTGTGGTATTGGTATTTTGACTAGCAATTTTGTTAAATTGTTTAGTTTATTAACGCTAGAACATAGCGTTCCGTGACTCGGTTGTCGTTGTTGGGTGAAAAGCAAACAGCTGTTTGCTGCGGAGCGCAGCGCGAGCAGGCTCCCGTGAACGGGAGCGCGCTCCTTCACTACAGACTATCGCGCCACCTTACCATTCGCCAACATTTTTTTAATACCAGCGGTAACCGGCCACAACAATCTTCAAATAAAAGAAAGTCACCGGAGGAGTTAAAGGAGAGTGACAGGTAGCATGAGAAGAAGAGGGAGAGAAAGTTTCAGACAGCTTGATCGATGGAGTTGGCTTCTAGTGGTGCAGTGACGCGTCCTAAAACCCTTTTATAATCTATCGATTAGATTTATGATTAGAAAATAATAAAAGTAGGATAGACATGTGGAGATTATCCGGCTGAACAAAACGTGCATTTATCAAACAGGTTTGTTTTCCACAGACCTTATTTCCAGCTATTTTCCAAAACCGTGAGGAGAAATCCCATTGCTTTTTGTCGAGGGAACCAGCAGCTTACTTCCTGGACGCGTCACTCGCTGCACCTCTCAATATGATGCCAATATAAACAAGGTCTTCTGTCGGCTCTGTACATCAATGCCGACCTATGCTGACAAGTGAAGAGTAGACAATATAAAGGTATTGGCGAAATGTGCCAGCAGTTTAGGAGAATGAAGGTTCAAATCAAATCAATTACATAGCCATTACATGTCTAACTCCTAATGATAGGAAGGCAGAAAGTGCATTATACAAATAATACTCATAATAATAGCAGACATTTTTAAACAATGACCACAATATCATTATTTTAATAAACCAAATATGAACAATTGAGGAAAATGAGGAAGAACTGATGATTCAAATGTTGTAGTACAAGTAGTAATGTAGTTAGTGCATAAATTACTATTGCAACAAATGTGTTAATTTTATTCATTATTAGGCCAGTGGTTACAATGGTGGGACCAGTGAAAATACAATTCCACCGGCCCCGTCGACAATTTACTAGCGGTATTTACTTGCGGTACCGCGGTGGGCCGGCGGTACCGCAAGTAGGCCGGTCGAGAGTCCCGGGCTGATTTGTAGTCCCAGTCCGTCCCTGCGTGACCCCTCCTGTTGTTCATTGATAAGCCTGAAACATGCACTTGTAAAGGTTCAGAGGCACATTTTGCAAATATGGCAGTAGCCATCGATCATCTTAAGATAAGATAAGATATACTTTTTTGGGAAATGTTTTTGTTACAGCAGCATACTACTTTGTTCTACTCCACTACAATTCAGAGGTTAACATTTTTACTCCACTACATTTATTTTTGTTACTTTGCAGATTCTGATTAATGATGTGAAATATAAATAACCCTTAAATCAGACTTTAGT